TGCAAATTGCACCCTGAAAAATTCTGTGCTTTAGCATTTGGGAAACCATGGTCAGCTCTTAAATACAGCACAAGAACATCTCATTGTTCACATATTTTCAGAGTTACCGTCTTTTTAGCAGAATTTACTCGTCCTGAATAAAAAGATCTCCAGTTGACTCTTCCAGAAGCCAGAAGTGAAACACTGAATCCACTTAAGCCGTTATCCTCATTGCTGTCACCACTATCACTGTCTTCCTAGTGCCCAAGTGCTCGCAAGACCCGCTATACAGCTAGGTAACTAGTACTGGCTGCATTTACATTAGCGTGTCGATTCAGAGCACTAGCTCCATTTTGAAGCATCACCCCCACTCACCGTGCAGTGGCCCAGTGCGCAGAACAGTTTTAAGCATGCAAAAGTGATTCCTTTCAGAGGAAACTAAACCACAGCTCCACTTCAGGTATGTGTTTGAAGTGCTCCAGTTCCTAATGGGAACATCAGGGGCTGAACTAACAACTGGTCCTTCAAACAACGTATGGCACAGACATTTAGGCCAGAGAACCAAACTAAACCCAGTCCACAGTACACCACATGAACTGCATATTGCGTGGATGGATGTAGGGGACTCGGTACCACCTGCTTCAATCTATTGATCCACGTCTGTTGAATCAAATTACTTGCTCGTGTGGATATAGTCTATGTAGTGAATCAAAGACCAGGCTGGTCTCCCATAGAGCCTATACTCAATTTTTTAGCAACGTGCAACAAGCAAGTACTATTAACAAAAAGAGGCTAGAAATTTCAGGAAGATTGCATAGTCCTGGGTTCCCTAAGGTTTGAGCGCTATTTCTCATTCCAGCATGCACATGTAAGATCTTTCAAATAAAATAAAGCGCACACATGAACTCTGTGACTATCTACACCCTTCGTTACTCTGACCTCACTGGCTGGTACTGACTACCTTTTAACCTAGCCCTCCCAAACCAGTAGGTTTTTTGTAAGCATCATGACAGCAATGGATCTCGGAAAAAGATGAAGAAGGAGAGGAAAATAATTTCACAGAACAGGTCAAAGAGGGCATTTCTTGCATAAGACTCTGTGTAAAGACACAAATCAAAGTGCTCGCACTAATGGTGTCATTTTAGCTGACAAAAAGCCTTTTAGCAGCTAGAGCTTGCAGAGAGTAGGGGCGAGAAGAGCACCAGAAAGGAGGTTAAAATATCCAAAACGTAAGATACAAAGGATCTGAGCAAGTAATGTAGGAGCAAGGGCAAAAATAAAGTTTGAGTTTCAGAAACTATTTCGATGAGGCCTATATAATCTGTAGGTGCCTGACGGCACAAAACCCAGAGAACATGGCATCACCGAGGAAATGAGAAAGGCCTCATCTGTTCCCAACTCCCAGACCCTCCCGTCCAACCCGCTGCGGGGGAAGCGATACACCCAGCATCTGAAATACCTGCTCCACAGAGCCCGGAGGGCCGGCGGCCGGTGTGCATCCAGTCCCGCTTCATTCTCTGCAACAGCCTGAGAGCCGTCATGGACACCTCGTGGTTCTTATCCCCAAACTCAAGCATGTGTGCAAAACGAGGAATATATAAACACGGATCTGCAAGAGAAAATAATACAATTATTTCTAATCCTAACCTTTGATCTAGGAAACGCAGTACTTGAGCAGCAGTACTGCGGGGCTGCCGTGGTTGGCTTGCTTCACATCTCGGCAAACAACACGGACTGTGCTGCTGGGCCAGATCCTCTGATCACTAAGCTTTAGAAGCACCTTTTTAGTTCAGCTAAAACAAAATCCTTTCTTGCTTTATAGACGAGAGACCTTTAAAGCACTGCACAAAGTTTTTCTTACGTGCTTTTCAGGGTCCAAGGCTGCACATGCTGACTCTGACACGTGAGCAGTGTTACTGGTATCAGTGAAATTATGCACAAAGCTAAGCGTTCGCAAAAGCTTTTGCAGAACGAGGACGTAACTTAGGCGCAAAACTTCTAACATCTCCTGCAAAGTAACAAATAAGCTAACTTGCATGTCTCGTCTCACACCCACCTACAAACCAAGCTTCAAAAAAAAATTCATTTGCTTAAAAACCCATGTCACTAACAAAAGTCTACTTGCATCTTCAGAGTTAATTCCAGCTCCTTCTCGACTCATATCCCACCAATACAAAACGCTGTTTATTACAGATACTGAGGCATACTCTCCATCAGCATAAATTGCTGGAACCCAATTAACGTCAACAGCGCTTATGACAATTTACATCAGCCACGGATCTGCCTCCAGATGTATAAACTTATTTCAAGTGTTGGTGTTATCAGCTTCAAACCAACCGAAATATGTCGGTACGGATTGTGCTTTGCCTAAACCAATTTATAATTTATCAAACAATCTTGTAAAAGCTACACTTAACACATGTTTACTCTTATTTGAGGTATCAATTTCTCATTTCCTGCCAGCCTTTTATCACTTAACCGAAAATCCATGATGTACGGTAAATTGTTAACTATTAGTCTCAACTCAATTTCCTTAGCTGATCCCCTGTGTGGGCACTTAAACTGATAAAGATGAAAACTCAGCTCGAAACACTGGAATAATCTTACGGATTTACAATTAATCAAAGCAGTTTAATTTAGCACCAAGTTCTAACAATGATGCCCTGTTGCTATCCATAATTACCAAGATCACACCGCAGGTGATTACACCTGTCAGCCCTGCAGAAGCATTTAAATGAAAGCATTTATCAAGCAAAAACTTCCAAACACATCTCCTTCAAAACTGAAGAAATGCCAGAGTGGAGTCACCTCCTAAACATGACCCTAAAAATCAAAGGTTGTGGAAAGATTAACCGATCCCCGCGATTCTTAAGGGCAGGTGTTCTGTATTTCCAAGTATGATTTTATAAAACTGTACTCTTTTATAAAACTGTACTCAACAGAAATAACCGATTCCAAAATACAACAATAACAAAAAAACCCCTTTCGGAAGCGATAGCCTAGGGTTCAACACACGTTTAAACTTCGCTCTTCGCACTACAGAAACACGCGCGGCGTTGCAAAGCGATGCCTGGTTTGCTTTCCCATTTCTCTTATCCCGAGGGCCCAACTTCAGCTCCTCCAGCCGCCCCGAGCAGAGGCAGGCAATTCACAGCTTTCTCTTCAGAGCTGAGTTTCGGGAGCATTTACACGTTTGCATTGTGGCTGTTCAGACATTTCTGCCGGCATTCATGCCCACAGGTCATCTGACAAAAGATTGCACATCGTTAATTTAAATTCTGAAGCTACCAAACAGCCAGAAAATGAAAATGCGGGTCGGTTTTAAGTGAAAAGCCTTAAAGAGGCCATAAATGGCTAGAATGCAATACTAGCACTATAGAAATTAAATGCAGGCCCAAGGTTAACATAAACATAGCCTACATGGATGCAAACATTTAAAAAAAAAAACATATATTTTTTTAAAAGTTGTAGAACCCGAATGCCTGGAATCCTTTCACGTGTAGGAAACAAGCACCGGCGCACCACGGGTGCCCTGTTCCCAGGCGAGTCCCCTTTGCAAGTTCAAGCGGGGCAAAACCCGCCGGCTTTCCTGAACGGGGACTGCAGGGGCCGTGAAGCAGGTAGCAAGAAAAACATTTATTTTCTTGTTTAAGAAAGAAGCAGCTGTCTTTCTGAAGACTTTCCCTTCTCCCCCTATCCCAGCGGCGACTCGGGACTCGGACTTTTGGAAGCACCTGGATGCCACATAGTCATTAACAGGAATGTAAAAAAATTCCCAGGAAACGGCTCAAAAGAGTGACTTCCCCACCAACACAGTAACCGGGACGGCAGGGCCGGGGAGAGGAATGGGAGCCGTGCTCCCCTGCCAGCCCACCCCCACGGGAAGGGGCACGGAGAGGGCGGCCGAGGAGGGTCAGTCCCCGCTGAAACACCCCCGGAAGGCGAGCGGGGGCCCAGCCCGGGAGGGCCCGCACAACCGGGGCACGGCGGCTTCGGGGCTCCGAAAAAAGGGGAGAAAAAATCCCCCTGCAACTTCCCCGACCTAAAGAATTCCGCCCCGATCGTGCCCCCA